GGCCCGGCTGCCGCGATGGCCCCAGGGCCGTCCCCCGCTGCCCGCGGACCCGCGCCAAGCCCGGGAGGGCCCCGGCCCGCGCTGGAACACGGGGTTTTTCCGCTCCCTCCCTCCAAAAAGCCTTCAAAGGCGAAGGCAAGTCCGGCCGAGCAAAAAGGGGCAGATCAGAGCCTGCCGGCAATGGCTCGGGGCGTTACAGAGTATCAGAAAATGAAAAGTTCTCACAGCCCACTTCACCTGTCCGGGAGCGCGCAGCCACGGAGCGAAACCGCTGCCAGGCAGGCTCTCGGGGCCGAGACACTTGCACAGCAGGGAGAGATGTTTGTGCCTTCAAACAGCAAGTGGCTTTCGTACACGAAGAGACAAACACGCATTCTGGATCAAAATACGAGCGTTTGTTTTCAGGAGTGACTCTTCCTCCCTTGACAATCTCTGCACTGTTTTACGTCGTCTGAATCTGACAATTGGAGCACTGCTCGTTATAGCCACAGAGCTTTGATCACATCACTCAAACACAGATGTTCCCTGGGTTCCAAGCTCTGCAGGTATGCATTCACAGAGCCTATGCTATAATTAACTCCACCAAATCTTAGGGGATTCTATAAAACAGTGATTTATAAGCATTGAGGGGAAAAGGGGAAGTGTTTTCCACGAAAACCTTCTTATCTTGTGAAAACATACAGGATTGCGATGGGTATCTTCCAGAAATACAAGAATTCAGATTTATTTCCCTCCTTATGGAAGTCTCAGGATTCAACAGATGATGCAAAGCTAGCTCAGGTATAAAGTCTGTAGCCACTTCTCTAAAACCGTGCAGAATCAAATAAAAATATGAACACAGTACTTCAGCGTTATCTATATCTGTCCTATGGGTTCCTACAGGACGTCATGGAAGGAAACAGACCCAGAAATGAGACAGCAGGGGTTAACAACCTGGTCACCGGATCAGAAAGGGATATTGACGGCACACACAGAGGGAGCGGAATTCCTCCAGACATTAAACGCTGCCTGGGGCACCTTGGGAGTGCCCCCGGAAAGAGGAGTGGGGTCGGTAACACCCGCCTTCCCCCAACATTCGTATAAACTCTTCTGCCAACAGCGCGCTGCTGCCAAGGGATATGGGAATGGCTGACCCCTGGCACCAACAAGTGAGAAAATTACTGATAAACATGTCTATCAAAAACCGGTCATGACATTTTTTATTGCTAGTATGGTGTTGAAAGTTAAAAAAATCAGGGAAAAAAAGGTAGAATTTCTTTAGAAGGATTTTAGCACTAGGTATCATAAGTAAGCAGATCTCCTGGCTGTTCTTTATTAAATTAACAAATATTTGAGGTGGAATAAAATCTACCATACATATAATCAATTCCTTAATGCTGAGCCTAAAGATCACCACTTGTCGCCTTCGTTGGCGTGGCGACCCCTTAATTGTGCAGAATTGTTTCCTACAATATTATAATTTATTCTCCACATTTAGTATTTCAAATCTAAATTCATTCCTTTTCTTCTTGTTCTTACTTATATGAATAATGGTGGATAATGTAAAGTAAATTTTAGGAAGTAACACAAAGGCAGTATGGCCAAACTCCCAAACCTAAAAAAAGCCCATGAACCAGCCTCTCCCCCTTCATAATATTGCCTTAAGCATATTTATATCTTTAACAATACCACAATGTGAGGTTATTCTTATTTTTCTGCTTTGATCCTCTAAGATCCCAAATATGATCTTTGATCCTCCAGTCATATTTTTAAACATTTCATTGCAACTCTGAGGATTAGAGACACATTTAAAAAAAAAACAAAGCCAAAATCCTCCTACAGCTGCTAGACTTCAGCAGCTTGACTCCCCATAAAATCAAGTGTTAATAAGACCCTGCTATCAAGTAAAGGAATCACCAGTTATTTTAGACAGTAAGGCATCATGTTTTTATCCTTCTTTTTTTAATCTTTTGGGGACAAATGCAGCCATCATCGGAACAAACAACATTGTAAATACTTTTAAGTTAAAATTATTTCTTCCACGTTAAATCTTCTCAATTTGACTAACAATCGTGTTTTCAGAGACTTGTAAGCATCTAAATCACTAATTTCACACACAAATGGGTACCAAAACACTTATGAGACATCACCCTAAGTACTTAGAGATTTCACGCACCCTCAGGAGGGGCAGCAGAAGAGGATCTCAAACACCCCAGCCCCATTTTGCCTCTCCCTAATACCACCTAAGTGCTCCCCATTACCAAGCCACACCTGTAACTCAGCACAAGTAGCATGTGCATTTTCGACTACACCCCGTTGCAGCACTTGCCCTAGTCGTTCCTTAAATACAGGTTGAGTCAATTTTTCCATGATAAATTCCCAGAGTACATTCCTAAGTTTATAAAATACCCATGAAATTTTGCTTTGAGCCTTGATTGTGATGATTGTAGCTGCCCTAAGTCAAATACTATATCACTAACTTCTGTGCTGAAATTTCACATGCAGTATACAGAGAATTTTTTCAGACTTTAAGTGAAAAAATGTGTCTAAAAATGGTGGTGCATGGGGAGAATTATGTGAGTTGCTGGTGGTTTTTAAATCTTTATTAAAACCACCATTTTTTGCTAATGCTTTAAAATTTGTTGTTAGTAATATTGCCAAGTACTTACATATTACAGAAAAAATCTATGAAAATAACTATTGTTCTCTCTTTTCAGACTACATATATTAATCTTACTGTGGGCGTTTCATATAGATTTCCCACAATGGCAATTAATAGTTTTTTCCCAGCCACTAAAACCTGAGGAAGTCCCATTTTTGGGGACTAAATTTCCTACTATAAATAATACCTATATTACACCAGGATAAATATAGTAATTTCTCAGATCAACCACATTATTTCTTATGTTTGTGTATACATATATTCTTACTTAGGACTCTTAAACTTTTTTAAAATTATTAAAATGTATTTAAAGAAAAATCCTCGACAATCAATATATGTTGAAGTCTGGATTCCCAAGAATTTGTCTGGCTGTTACTGGTACCTGGTATCCCAGTACCTACAATGCTTCATCACAGCTAATTTTCTCTTTATTTTCTTCTTATGCTACTTTTTGTCCATGCTGGGCTCTGCAGTTCCTCTTCTGCCTGTCCCTTTGTGCTCTCGTTCTCTCTGTTCCTTCATATTCTACGTCTTGTTCTCATCCTTTCAATTTTGTTCTCCATCTTTCTCTGTTCTCCAGTTTTCCGCTCGCTTTCCTGAGCAGGCATGAAGTCGATTGTTCGGTTTCTGTTCAACACATTTAATAGATTGAATTTGACCCTGCTGCATAAGGCTCCTTAACTTAATCAACAGTACAACGTTATTAACACAATGTGGTATCAGGATGCAGCATTCTATGCACAAGCCTTTTCTGTAGAGGCCAGAGAGGACACGCACCTCTACTCCTGTCTGCCCCTGCTAGCACTCTCACCTGTACACACCGACACTCAGCACAGTGCAGTGAGCAGTTTGCAAGTCAAGTAGAATATTGTCAACACAAGGAAATACCTGTAGATACTAAATTGCATTGTTTGCAGCAAAACTGCAATTAAAATGGTCTTCCATGGGGAAATTTGAAAGGGAAATTGTAAGCCTGCCAGGAAAGCCTAACTGGCTGAAGTAAGGTGAGATAATGAGGTTAATGAGAGAGGAACATCTGGTCCCTAGAAGGTCTCCAGGAACGTAACAGCAGGCAAAGCGTGTTTATGCTGAAGGAGAGAGGTTGTGTGGTCAGATGGCTGTGCTTCCTCTCCAGGCTGTCAGACGTCTGCTGGTACCCAAGTGGTTACTGAAACAAATTCTCTCTCATCACCTGAAGCCCAGCAGCGCACGGTGCTGTTTTAAAGCTGCGTGCTCTGGTTGAGCCATTCAGCCCTACGGCTCTCTCCCTCTTACACCATTTCTGCTGGTGTTCTGGTCACTCTGGAGCTGCTGCGCTGATTCACCCTCTGAGTCAGTGAGATGTCTTCTCATCCGGATGATAATGTGGAGGAGAGGAAGTGAGAGAGAAGCAGTTTCATAGGAACTTTCTAGGCTGTTTCTGTAATTTAATCTGACTGCTAATTTCTCTCCAAACAGCCAAAGGCAGGGGCAGTTTTTTGAGTTTTCTTTCCTAAAAGTCTCTCAGTCGCAGACCCGGTGCAGTCTGACAATTGATCCTGGGTATCAGAAAGTTTCAGAAGTCTTCATTTGAAATGAGTAGGCCCATGCCATGGATTAATTTGGTACATAGAAAGCATGGATGTAGCATGGATGGCGTGGGCACTGGTGCAAGGGTTGGCAGGCGGCTCCCCGTTTTGCCAGCTGCAGTACTTGCCTCACTATCTTCCACCTTTGCGGCTCCACAGCCATAGTCCTCCC